CCCTACAAATTAATTGTTCTTAGGCTTTGACATGCATTTATGGGAAGTAAAGAGTACACTGAACAGGAACTCAGAAGACTGCTCTTATATTCTGCCTGCTGAGACACCTTGGATGAGTCATTCTGTGCCTCACTTTCTCCCATCTATAAAATAAAGGTAATGATACCTCCATTTTCGAATGTTATGACATTCACTGATGGAAAAAGCATAATGTATGAACTAAGTATTAGTACTAAACCAGTCCTTTACCATGGTTTTCAAGGTGGGAAAGTCACAAACAAAAAACAGTAGCTAAGCAACAAACCATTAACCCAATAAGAAACGTGTCTAATTATGTTTTTGGTGTTTGTACATAAATACAAAGATTGAAAATCAACTACATCTTCTAAATCAATACGTTAATTGGCAATCTACACAGAGAGAAGTCATTTAATCTATTTTATCACTAGAATCATTAAACAAACAGTAAGTGGGAAACCCCTAAATTTCAAAGCACTTTCAAATAAATATGGCTATGCTGCCTTTTCTGACTTGCAAGTAAGATTAGAAATTAAGCCTTCTAAATTATGTCTCACTGAATTTCTAATCATTCTTTATTAACATTTAGAATTTAACTAGGATCTTGAAATACTTTGATCTGTTTTTAAGACTTGGATCCTAGGAATTGAAGAATGTAATCAAGGGTCACAGGACTGAGGCTACCAAACATTTTAGAATGAAGTCTACAGAGGTATGATTTTTTCCCTCTAAAGTTTCTACTTCAGTTTTAGAGGGGTTTGATCACTGAAGAATGTATATATTCATATCAGATTTAAGTTTACATTTACTAGCTGTTTTCCTTACCAATTGGAAAGAGCCTGCAAAGCTGCATTCATGTAACAAGTGTTTCCTATATTTTTCAAACCAGTAAGACCTGTGAGAACAGAAAAAAAAGTTACATTTTTAGCTTTCTTGAAAATATATTAAAAAAAAATAACATTTTTCTAATCAAGAGACATACTAGTCCAATTCTACACAGTTACATTTTAAAGCCAATGTTGTTGCAAAAGTATAGCTGAAAACAGAATTTGATTCTTGGACAGTAAATACAATTATCTCAGAGTAAATATTGTTAGAAGTATACCAACATATTGGTTGTATGTCGGACTGGCACTGATAAAAGGAAAATTAACATTATCAGCTATCAGCTTTTTTTTGCTGGTGTAGCCGATAATTGTCACTGATAAATGCTATGTGCATGCACGGAGTTGCAGCATGCATGCAGCTAGGAATGCAGCCCAGAAGCACTGCCCTGCAGTTAAGTCTGTGGGGGTAAAGAGGCATGGCGGGGGGGCGGCAGATTGAGGCCTCCCGCAGTGAGGGAGGGAGTGGGGCAGGGGCTGCTCAGCCAGGGCAGTGAATAGGACCCTGGGGCCGGGAGTAGGACACAGACACAAGTGAGAAGACGGAGTAGATGTCCGCTGCTGCATGCACCCCCAGGGAAGGTGTGGGGGGTATATGTCCCCCAGGATTTCTGCACGTGGCAGAGGCGGGCTGCCCACTGTGGACCTGGGGCCTGGGATAGCACCAGTTTCTTACCAGTGGGGGGGGCTGGGACAGGGCTGGGCCAGGCTCAGCTGCATGGGGCATGTGGCAGCGGCTCTGCTGGGAGGGGTGGATACAGGGGCACTAAGACAAATGTTGGGGGTGGCTATAGCTCCCCCTCAGCACCATCCCTGCTCAGGACACTCTGGTCTGCTGCCTTTCCCTCTGGAGCCCTGTGCTGGCTCCGTGTCTCCTGCCCTCCCCTCAGCACAGGGCTCCCAAGAGAGAGGCACCAGAAAAGAGTGCCCTGAGCAAGGGCAACACTAGTGGAGGGCTATAGCCACCCCAAAATTTGCCTTAGCCCCCCCATAGCCACCCCTTCCAGTGCCACTGCTGCCTGCATGCGCGCCCACCTGCACCCTGCACACAAATTCAGGGAGGGGGGCATACCCCCCATGCCTCCCTTGGGGGTACGCTGCCCCCCACCCCCCCCTTCCACCCTATTGATGAATCACCCTTGGCTCTGTCCCGCTTCTGGCCCCAGGGTCCCATTCACTGCCCTGGCTGCCCCACTCCCTTCCTCACTGTGAGGGCCTCAATCTGCCCCACCCCCACCCCTTTCCTTCCACAGACTTACCTGCAGGGCACTGCTCTCCAAGTTGCCAGGCTGCATTCCTGTATATCAGCTACTGGACCAGTATAGGCCAATACGGCTGGTTAATAATCGACTATAGGTATCAGCCAAGAAAGTCTTTATCAGTGCACCCCTACATATTGTTTTACTATTTGTTGATTATGGTACCTATGGTATTTGTTGATTATGGTACCTACACTGAATGTATTTTATTTGATCTTTTCATTCATACATAGTATTTTTTCAGTTTTTTGTGAAATATGAAGATAGATTATAAAGGTCGAGTTCTATATAGCCTTTAATTTTACTTGCATTTAATGATTTAATCAGTTCAGTTGTGTTCTGTTTGTATGCGAGATCTGTCATTTTAACCGTGCAATCAAATAGAAGATTTCGTTTTTCAATAACTGTTCAAATAACTGTTCAAATAAACCTTAGAGCTTGGAAAATGTATACACGTAATTAATGATAATGGGAAATAAAACAATTTTATTCTGTACAACTTTCGTATGAGCTGTATCTCCAAAACATTCATAAGGTACATACAAATAAAAGCAAAGGAAGAATATTAGGAGGCACTAAAAGGGGATAAGAGACAGATTTTTCAAAGATTTAAGAACAGATGGTGAAATGGCAAGGTGGAAACACACAGGGAAGCAGTACCAGATGGCATTAACTGCAGAGGAAAAGCCTTTTGGGTCAACAGCAGGGAGACAGTGGGGAGGCTGGTATAGATGAGTGGAGAAAGAGCAGAAAAACAAGGTCCATGAACTAGATTAAATATCTTTCACCATCACTGATGTGAGAAATTGTCTTGTCATCTCAACAAGGCAACTGAGAAAAATATGATCAGCAGATTAAGCTAAGGAAATTTATACAAATATAAAACACATTGATATATCAATTTAAAACTTTGAAGAGATTCTATGATACAGCTCACTTGTTAAACGACAGAATAAACCCTTTGTGTTGGGCTTCACAACAGTTTCTGTTACTTAAATATGTGGCATGGGTAACTTTTATGTTAGCTAAAATCTACAACTGCCAAAAATTAAAAAAAAAAAGAAGAAAAAAACCCCACTGCTATGAACTGCTGGCCCAAAAGGGTTACCCAAAATACAGAAAGCATTAATATACGGCATCCCAAAGAAAAAATATGCTTGAAAAAGTTTAATAACTACACTCTGACCAGAGGGGACAGAGACATCAATTTTAGTCCAGTGAAAAAAAGGAAGTTACTTACCAAGAACTGGTGTTCTTTGAGCTGTATTCTCACTTGTGGGTATGTTTGACCCTAAGCCTTTGACCAGACACTTCTTGCCTTAGCAGTACCTGTACTGAATGCACTTCGACCACCCATCCTCTCAACTGAAAAAAACCCATATTATATTAGACTTCAAGGGAGAGTGCAGGATGTAGATCTATACATGGAAAAAAGTGCAGCTGCCAATAGCTGGTGTAGCTCTAAGAGCAAAATCTGGGTTCAGGCAATGGAGTAGACCTCTAGCAGCCAGAGGCTGGTCCACAACTCTTTCAAGAAACAGAATTTCTCCTCTGTAGTTCCTCTGCAGCTGAAAAGTTCCATTTCTTCGAAGGACAGCTGCCAGTTTTTCAGCTGCCCCCTGATTATCTTTGGGTAAATCAAAATCATGTTGGTAGAATGACTTTTCACAACAATTGTGGTAACCATAGATCGGAGAGGCTGTCTCCTGCATCCACAGGCAGTCTGCAAGGCAGTCTTAGCAACCAGCTGGCTCTCTGTAATCAAAGGGGATGATTTTGAGCTTGGTCACATGGTCACAATGAAATTACAACTGGTGAACAGTGTCTGATATTGCCAATTGTTGAGGACTCACTGCACCACAAGCTTCACTGAGCCCTTACTGGGTGGTGAAGATTTTGGCCAGGAGACAGGGACAGCATCATACTGCCCAGTGCTCAACAATCCCCTTTTGGGATTCCAAGTGTTATATCCATTCAGAGTTTGAAGATCCAGTGTTGGACAATATAAGCCTATTGTGGGTATTTGAAAAACAGAATCCTCCCAGACATGAGAAGATGAAGCAGCCCTCTCACTTGACACCTTGATTGGAGATCTCCCTCAGGATCAGGATGCTAGGTATAGTGAGGGTCTCCAGGGCAAGTCAGCACTGGAGGCATCAATGCCAGGTGATACTTTAAGAACCTGAATCCAAATGGCAACAGAGTGACTTATCAAAGAGAAACATCCTTAACTGTCCTTTCTGGTTCTTGGCTTGAACAAACAGTAGAGAACACACTTATCAGAGATGCAAGATTTCCCCTGGCAGTATAGGGACCTGCAATATGTCTCACACAAGAGGAGATGGCGTTTGAAGAACTTCTCGGGAAGGTAAAGGGAAGGCCCTGATCCTAAATGTGGCTGAGACACCAGCATGGCAGTGTTGCAGAGCACAGAGAAGAACTTTCAGGGACAAAGCAGGTAGGGCAAAAACAAAAAAAACTAGGTACCCTCAACCCCTTAAGGGGAAAGGGGTAGAAGGGATTAAATAGAAAGGTAGAGAAGATAAAGAACAGTTGAGAGGATTCAAAGGACTAGTCATCAACACAGAACAGCAATATGTTTGGTCCTAAGCAGGTAGTTGAGAGAAACTAACAGTATGCTGCCTTTGACCTCTCAGCGTGGGAGTGGGGTAGAGTGTACTCTGTGGGTACTGCTAAGTCTCTGGTCAAAGGCTCAGAAGCTAAGCATATCCACAAGTGAGAATGTGTATCTGGATAATTACTAGGAGGAAAGCTAGCATACATAGGACACAATTATTTAAGTGAAGGTGTGACCCAACACTAGCCAATTAATTAGTTGACTGTAAGGGGTTTAATCATTCAGTTCTATTACCTCTTGTCCTCAGTTCATCTTCTTCCACCTCGATATCCAAGTCATCAAATACAGCAACTAGAGGAATCTTCAGTGTTGGATTACCAGGTATTTTAAAATCCTCATTGGAAGAGAGGGGAAAACATAAGCATGATTATTCTAAATCATAATTACTCTAAATGTTAGCATATTTCTACTAATGTGACTATGAATTAAACAGCACTGAATATATGCAGCTAGAATGGAGTTTACTTTACTTAAAGCAAAAGTTTAAGGCAAGTTCTCAGGATAAGAACATAATACTGAACCATTTTCTGTAGACTCTAAAGTATTAAGAGAGTCAACCAAAATGCAAGGCCAAATGTTGCAAAATGTCATGAGACTGCATTAGGAATAGTAAGTCTGCATTGCAGTTTACTGTACAATTATAAACACTGCTTTTACAGAGGATTACATGAAAATCTATATATAAATTTTTGCTTCTACCACCAGATGGCCCACTGCATTTAATCAAAAGAAACACAGAAGGTGAGCCAAGCAAGTACTTAATCGCATTATGTCCTCTTTCTGTAAGAATGTGAACAGGAAACCTTAGCATTTGAATGCAAAAAGAGGGAACAAACATTTCACCAGTTATGTTAATTTCTCCTTACATGATGCATCTTCCTTGGAGAGTAGAAACAAAAACTGGAGATATTTAAACAGTAGTAATACTAGAGTGTTTTCGTAGCTGCATATTTCCTGGACTACTGCAATAATAAGGGTTCTTTGGTGGTATCTTTTACTGGATCAACTATATAGTTGGGAGAGAAGCTGGACAGGCTTTGAGGCACAAAATGTTCTTCTTCAGAGCACTTTGTGCCAGACAGCTTGTCTAACATTTCTCCCAACTATACAGTTGGTCTAATAAAAGCTATTACCAAAAAAAACCTTGCTTTTTACTTAACATGCAGGCATTTAAAGAGAGAAAAGGCCAATCCTTGTTTTTTTCTACAATAAAGCAACAGTCAGCTTCATTTCTACAGGAAAATTCTGCCACAGTTTCTCAAAGAAAATGTTTCATGTCTAAAGATTATATATAAATAATTTAGCGTGCCAGTGCTACTGTGCATAATACTGTTTGTAGAACCCTATCTTGGGAAGGGCTGAGAGCTCTTAATGCTTACTAATTTCAACAGAAAATACAGATGCTTCAATATGTTACAGAAGTAGATATATAATCTATGTGAAAGCAACACTCCTGCTCTTAGGAACTAAGTACCTACTTTAGATAAAGAAGTGCAGTTTATTTTAATACTATAACTTAAAAAGAAAACCTGGAAATTACTTGCTCTGCTTCTGTTGTCTTTATTTGTAACAATTTGGCTAGTATTTTTTTCTGCATTTACAGATTTCTAGCGTAATTTTCATTGTTTCCTAAATCCTAGCCACACAAAAACATGAACAAAAGCTTAACCAAACTAACTGCTCCACAACTAAATTTAGCCGTCTGTTGACTTAATTAAATCAAATGACCAGCCTATAAAATAACAGTGACTCCCACCACTGTCTGAACTTCTGTGTCAATAGGGCCAGCACTCAGGAGATTAATACTTGTTCACCAGAGTGCCCCAAGGGATGACAAGGTTGAACGGTTATAAACTACTGCAAGACCGTTTCAGGCTGGACATAAGGAAGAATTTCTTTACTGTCCAAGCCCTCAAGGTCTGGAATAGCCTGCCATTGGAGGTGGTTCAAGCACCTACATTGAACACCTTCAAGAATAAATTGGATGCTCATCTTGCTGGGATCCTATGACCCCAGCTGATTTCCAGCCCTTTGGGCGGGGGGCTGGACTCGATGATCTTCCAAGGTCCCTTCCAGCCCTAATGTCTATGAAATCTATGCTGCTGCTTGCCCTGCTGGACATCTAGCCCACATGGCCAAAAAGGTTTGACACCCCTGACAGAACTGAACCATAACATAACTTTTATGAAAACATAGTGTCATTATTAAGTGCTTGTGTGCATTTTAAAAAAAGGAACCAGACTATTTCTTGCTGTCCCCTGGGAAAGCACCTATGATGGCCAAAGAGAATGAGATTAATAAATGCAACTGAAGCTGCATTGTTCACCAAGAAACAGTTTTTCCAGGAAAAAACAATTATGAACCTCAACTGTCATTTATAAAGAGATTAAAAAAATTACGGTTGATCTAATCCTCTGTATCTCCTCATATTAGAAGATAAATTAACAGGGACAGTTTGCCTGGGCTGTTTAAAAAAAAAAAAATCACTACACTTTTACATTTGAATTTGTACCTTTAACTGCTGCAAAATGATCTATGAAGACAACAAAACATGAGACTCTTCTACATAGTAGCTAGTAATAGATGGCTTCCTTAAGATCTGTAACTAAGACAGTTGCATTCATCCTGGATGACAGGAAATAAAGTTAAACTATTTCAATTTGAAAACCTCAAATGTAAATCTGCATTGTTTCTTCACCTCCAATATATGATAGATTTAAAAAAAGAGGATTAAATATACTTGGTACCAGTCTTCTTGGGAGGCTATATTAGTCTTCAGAGACAGCTTTATAAAATATCCTGAAAAAAAGCACATTATTCTCCAACACTGTCAAAAATCAAATTGGGCTTTAATTACAAAGCTAAAAAAGGTCTGTATGTATTTGACTAGTTTATAAGATTACCTGCACACTATTTTCTTGTGCTTGGTGAGATAACCTTGCATTTGGTAATGGAGAACGAGTTCGTAATTTTCTATCCAGAAATACTTCTTTGCTACATGCATAACACCAGACACGGAGGGTAGTAAGGTTGACTGTTAGGCAGTGCTGTGTGTCCTACAACAGAAAAAAAAAAGTGATTGGGAACATGGAAAAATGCATCTGGATAATACAAGCATAAACAAAACTATTAAAATATAAGGATAATGATGTTCATATTGAAAATAGCAGTAATTTAGCTGTCTCTGAAATCCTAGACTCCTTTTTTAAAGTAAAGTGGTACAAACCAGCAACAGAAACTAATCACATCACAATCACTGTCAAAGCTGACACACATCTGACTAATGGTGTAATCAGAAAAGAGGGCAAAATGTCGATGGTGTCCATAGTAAAAGTATTTCTACTTGTTAATCAAGTATCTAAGAGGGATGGACGAGAGCCACATAGTGATCTCTACGTGTAAGAATGAATGAACATCGATTTGACATCAGTTGCAGAAAGACAAAAGCCTGTGGCAGAACACTTCAGCTACCTTGGACACTCCATTTCTGACTTCAGGATTGCTGTTCTCAGGCAAAAAAAAGGTTTAAAAAACAGCTTGAATGGGAAATTGTAGAACAAGAAATCATCCACAAACTGGATTGTGTTAAGTATGGTTTAAACACGGACTATGGATTTTTATCTCATTGCCTGGATTGGCTTTTGTGACCTCGTTGTTCCCAAATGTTTAAAGCCTGTTTGCTTGTGTATCCTAGCACAGCTCCACTCCCCTACCTCTCTCTTTTACCTGCTCCCCTTATCTTTTGCATTTTACTTCTGTCTCCTTCTTAGTCTGCCTTCTGCATGTCCTTTTCACAGCATCTGATAAAGTGAACTTGGGTTCATGAAAGCTTGGGCTCTTTATATAAATCTTAATTAGTCTATAAAGGTGCATATCTACCCTGCCTTCTGACTGATTTCCAACTACCACAGCTAACTACCTGCTTCTAAGCTTCCAGCTCTCTTCTCTCTCTCTATAGGGCTAGCTGCTTCTCTCTTTCTAGCTACTACTGCATGCTCAGCTTCTGCCTTTCTTCTTTCCATTTTCCAATGTAGCAAGCCTGTTCCTCTGCCTTAATCTCATGGTTAAACAATTCCTCCTAGTCTGATCTCCAGGTCTTCTTATTTAGTAGGTTCCTGCAAACCTTGAAATGTCTGCGCAGTCTTTTTTTCCTCCTCAAACCCCTGCCTGAATATGACCATGTTCTGCAACTGAATCTCTATTCTTCCAGGATTCTATCAGGTGACTTTCCACGCATACAAATGTTCAGTTGGGTAACTGCTCAAGCACAAGAAACACGCCACAGCTTCTGCATCAAAGTATTTGTACTGAGGCTGCAATTCTTCAGCGATTTCTATTTCCTACTGTTGCCTCAATTGCTACCATCTTCTCTTCCTATTACCTACTGTTAAAGAAACAAACTCCCCGTTTAAAATTCTGCCTGATGGCTCATTCAGCCTTTTTACTTAGATCAGCTCTGCTTCCTCATTCCTCCTTTAGGCCCAGGCTAGGGACAGGCATTCAAAAAGCCTGACCAGTGAGGGACCCAGCAGGGCGTTGATAACACCCCATCAAGAAAGCAAAAGCCTCTTCCATTAGTTCAAGCTCTTCTTAAACAACTTTGTCGGAGGAAGGAACCGAGGGACATTACCAGCTGACCTACTGATGAGCTCCAAAAAGCCCTAAGCAGACACTGTCCTGTCTGCCTTACAAACACCTCTCTGCATTAGCTATCATACCACATGCTGGCTACAGTCCGTGCTGTGGGAGAAGGGAGGGGGGGGAAATCTCTGCTTGAGCGGGGAATGGTGGGGGAGCTGGGGCAAGGGGAAGCCAGGCAGACACTGCTGTACTTGTAGTCTCCACCGCAGCTTGAGCAAGGGAACAGAGGTGGGGCCAGTCATGCTCTGGAGCAGAGAACCCAGCCCAGGGCTGCCAAGCATCTGGGATGCTGGAGGATTCTGGTTTAACTTTAACCAGGAAGGAGTCTGGGACAGACATTGCATAAACCGGTTTGACCCAAATCAGTTAAGTCTGATACTATATTCAACTAGGTTTATCTCAAGCTCTGGTGTCAGCCATTTTCAAACTGGTTTATGTGCGCTGAATGTCTGTTCTGTTACAGGTTCAAACCAGTTTCTGATCACTTAAACCAGTTTGTGTGTAATGTCTGTCCCTAGCCCCACTGGTTAACTGGGCCTCAGATGTGATCAGAGGCAAAGACACTCTCGTACAACATCAGTTGCAAGACTCCTGTAGTACTCATACATAGCCTCCACACTCCACAAGCTACAAACTGCAACCCAACAAGTAAATTACTTCACTCTGAAGGAATGGCAAGTGCTCTGTTTTCACCAAGAACAAGCCCCATGCACCTCTTGTTTAGTGTCTTCTGGTAGCTTAGACATTTGTCTTATGAATTCCTTGACTAGATAACTGCCACCAGAATATTTGACTTAATATTTCCTTAAATGCTAAATGTCCATCTTCCAATTGTCCAACAATGTATTAAACTTCTGTACACATTCTTTGGGTAGTGTCACTAAATTTGGATTCATAGTAATTTCTTATCAAATGGCTACTTCTATCACCTTTATTTTACAAACATTCAAAAACATAATTTCCTCCTGTGAAAAGTGAGGTAGCAACTCCACTTAAAAAAAACAAAACAAAAACAAGTTGCAACTACAGGGTTATTTGACACAAAATTTGCTTAGTTTACTCACTGCAGTGACAGCAGCATTTAAGACTCCAGAACATGGGTCTACAGAAGCATATTGCTAGCCACAAAAATTCCAGAAGAGCTGCTTATCTGCAACTGCTCCACGTTGTTCACACTAAACATGTTCAGTGTAAAATAGTGTAGTGCATCCATCCATAGACAGGGCAGCCTTTGTCATAATTATGCATTACTGTGCTGTGCTTTTCCCACAACTCAAAGTATAGCCACTTAAGACAAATTCTTGGCTTGTTAAAAGACATGTTAAACAGCTTCTCACACATACATTGCATAAGAGGGATACACATTTATAAATATACCAAGTAATTGCCCATTAAGAATGATGGGGAGGGGGCAGGGGGGACATGGGGGGAAGCTTGCTAACCCTAACCACCACCCCCACAGCCTCCCTCTTGCCAGCACCTTGCACTGTTGCCACCTCCAGGGAGCAGGGCGGGGGTGGGGTGGGGGGGCAGCCTGCTCTACCCCCATCCATCCCTGTTGTCATGGCAGTGCTCCACCGCCACCGCCTCCTGTCTGTAACGCTCTTGGAGCACGCTGATTGGTTGTTTCAGTAACCAGTCAGAGTGCTCCACAAGTGTTATGGACAGACAGACAGACGAACTAAGCCCTTTATTATATTAGAACTAGACTAAATATGCTTACCTATAATTGCAAATAAATAAATAAGTCTATATTTTTTTCTAGGCATGCAGATATTGTCTAGGATAGTTTCCAAAGTTCTATCAAGAGCAGGCAAGAAATACACTAGAGGTGTAATCAGCAGCCAGTTTCTCTGCATAGAATACGTTTTTCTCTAAAGGCTCAAAGACCTGCACAGCTTTTCAGATAGTCTTTTCTCATCACCTAACCAGAACCAGATGTTTTAAACACTACAGATTCCAATCAGGACAGAAAAACTTCAATAAGCTAGTCCATAAGAGCATCCAGTTGTTGCAGACAATTAAACACAAGAATTACACATATGCTGAAGCAATGCATTTAGAAAATAAAAACAAACAAAAAGACATTCCTGTTGAAAAAGTTATGTCTGAGAAGGATGAAAATAAAACCTTTCTAACTTATAAACACATCAGACCAGACTATTAGGAGTTGAGGAAATACAAACAGCACAGTACACCACAATCATACAAAAAGAACCTCCAAACTATGAAAGGTCAATTTTTCACCTTCTTTCAGTCAGCAGCCTCTCTCATTACTGATTTTGACAAAAAAATTGGTTACTTTATCCAGATTCTCTATTGAAGCTGTCAAGCAGAAGAAAAAGGTTTTGGAAGCTCAAGCTTTTGGCATCCAGGAAAACAAAGAACTCCTTTTTCTTGCTACAGTCTGACAATAACTAGGTCCAACAGTAACAAACAAGAATTTCTGTTAAAAATTGTCAAAAGAGAAAATATGCTGAAATCTAAGGCAGCATAATTAGAGTTCACTGTTAACACCAAAATAAGCTGTATGGGCAGTTAATATTACAGAGAAGAACTACATAGCAAAATTAAATAGATAATACTGCATAAACATAAAGGCCTCTCAATGAGTGAGACCCGATTCCCAAGGGCAAAAAAAAGCGCTGATAAATAGCAAAGCTTCTGATTGGGAAAAACTACTCCCGAGGTACTGAATGTACTGACAAGATGCAAAAATAAATAAATAATTAAATAAAATAAAAATCACTGTAACTATATTACTCTCACTAACCAGTCAGAGTAAAAGTCACTATTTTAACATAATGGAACAGTACTACATGGAGGCTTTTGCTTACAAAAGCTAAAGTGAAAACATATGCACATACCTGAGAATGGATGGTACTGTGATCTACATGGGATTCACCACAGCCAACATACGAACATCTATTCTGTTGAACAAAATTTGAGAAGTTAATAACTGAGAAGAATTAGAGTACATTGCATTACAGTATGTTAGATGTCAAATGCAAACCCAAAGAACAACTTTGTTAAGGCTTCCAAGTCCATTTTTAATTTGCAACACTTATGATTGAAGGGTCCTGAAAAGAGCAAGAATCATGCAAGTTAAGTACTTTAATGAGTACAGCCCATCAGATCAAATTAAGATTGCTGCAAGATTTAACTCTTGATTCTGGAGTTAGGATTAGACATAATGCTTCTGATGCAGAGTTCTTCAGACATTTTAACTTTTTTTTTTTTAAATAAAGAAAATCAAATGTACAAGCTAGTGTTAAAACCAGGAAACATGTCAGCTATTAATTTTCCTAATTCAAAGTCTGACACCCTGAAGAGTAACAATTTTGAGATATTATAGAAGTGTGCATTTATATGTACATCATATCAAATGACCATAAAACATTATTTTAAAATCAATAGGATCTATCACCTTTAAAGGTTAACATCCGTGAACATTTCAGCTTTAAATTATGTGCTGCGATTGGACTACAAAATGCAAAGCTCTCAGTTCAAGTGCTCTGATTTAAAATGCATTTGCTAAGCTAGCTGTGGAATCTTGCAGCTGCCAATAATATGCTAACCACAAGCCATAGATATTAATCTCTCATTTCCATGAGCACTAAATGCAGGCATTTAACAAAGCATTCTATGAAATGTATATATGCCATTATGCACACAGATTTACACATTCACAAATTGTGCTTGTGTAAAGTATTGGTACTTAAAGTAATTAAATAGCAACTGTATGTTTATATTAACTGCTTTCCAACACTTTAATTTCAGCCATTTATAAAAAATAACCATAGGTAGTGGTTAAGCAATAAGTCACAACAAGGTGTCTATCATGCTGGGATCTCACCACGAGCTGAGTTGCTTTGCTAGGCACAAGGGCGACGGCAAGGTGCCAAATCATCCAAGAAGAGGAGATATCACAACATGACACCTCTTTTGTAGTATCTTACTGTGATTTTAAAATTGCCCTATGGAAATATTGGTAGGAAATTATATTAAAATTTTCAATACATGTCTATGCTTTCCAGATTAAATGACAATATAAATTGTAAATTGAAAAATAAAAATCTGGGGAGTTTTTTCTGTTTGTTTTTTAAACAAGCAAATACCATTTTTAGGCTTTGTCATTTTCTGTCTGTCATTCCAATTCTCCCCACATCTTTCCACTTTGACTTCTTCCTTTTAAAAAGTTTGTTTTTTTTTGTTTTTTTTTTTTTTTTTTAGAGGTAACTTGTTACCTTTAAAAAAAAAAAAAGCTTAATTTAAAGCAAATAATCCTTAAATCAGAATACTCTCTAGTGACAAGAATAGCAAAAAAATCGGTTCTGTTCCCTGCAACTGATTCACTTGGAACAACGGGGGTGAAAGGACATTTTTAAAATAAAAGCAAAGTGGCTGTTCTGTCACATTTCAGTTCGAGTGCTCATAAGCAGTGCATCTAAACCCACAGAAAAGAAGTTAATCTCTGCTGGGATAGATCTACAAACCTGGAATACCTATGAGAGGCATCACTGATTCAACTGCTCTTCTCTCACAGCACAGAAAGACAGTTCTATCAAAAGCAACATTGTCTCCTTCCAACTTAAAAAAAATAGAACATCACTTTGTCTATAGCTAGGAGAATAAAGCAGCACTAAATTTTAGTCCTAGAGAAAAGATTATTACATTACTTTAAGAGAAAACAGGGCAGAGGTTGCATGTGGAATAAATGAGGTCAAACCTGAACAATGTTTTTTAAAAAGTCTGAGTAAAAGTTTAATCTACTTGTTTTGTTTGGTGATAATTATGAAGTAATTCCGTGCACTGACAGGTCACGTTTCCCATTAGCGCACACTTTATTGGTATTATATAAGAGCTCAAGATAGGTAATTTGTTTGGCCAAGTTTACTGCCCAGAAAAACACAGGCTTTGTGACTACTACTTCCAATACTACTCACAGCCAACAGCTAATAGCTATCAGTAGCCTTTCCAAAGCTGAATTTTATGCACATTAAGATTCTGAGCTACCAGATGTATGTTTGAATCTTATTACAAAGCAAATCATTTTAAAGCTAAAAGCTTGTTTAACAAGCTTTGGTCTAAAGTATTTTTTAAAAACCCATTCTAAATATTTACACAAGAAGTATTGCAAACTTTCAGCTATAGCTTCATCAGATGACAACCTTGTGTCTCACACACTATATGGTAGATCACCTTACCTCTAAGCATGCCCAAAGATTTGGTCCTCTGACTTTACAGTCTTGACAAGTGCCCTGTTGATAAAATATGAACAAAGAATTATTTCACTAGTAAGGCTGCACAGTCCAAGAAAATAAGACTCTAAGGCAAAATAAAAAATCATTAGTACTACAAAATAATTTTAAATAAATCAGTGGCACATTATTTTGAATCAAGCCTACCATTTTTAGGTTAATCTTTATAAAACAAAAATAACGTGGATGCCAATTCAGTTTTCATTTCACTTTGATTACTAAAATGTATCAAAACTCTCCTAATCTTGTAACCATTCTACAGTAGGACAGACACTGAAAGAAATGTTTTATACGTAGAATAAAAATGTGATATTCCATTTACCATTAAAACATAATTTAAAATATAACATTTAAATATATCTAACATCTGACTTTAGGTTTTCAAGGCGACACCAAAACAAAACCTGTTAACACTTTAAACTAAAAGATCACGTAAGGGCCTGGCTTCCCCTTAGAATAGGACCAAGCAACTAATATATCATAACATTAGTGTAATAGTATCTGTAGAGCTTACTGTGTTGCTACTCATTTTTGTAATGTTGAACTTCTGAGTGGCAAACCAGGTAGACAACTGTTGCACTTTTATGTAAATGAAATTCACTTTTAATTAAAGCACCATACGCAAAAAAAAAAAATGGATTTTTTGCCAACTCGTAGCTATCAAGATTATAAATTACTAAATGCTAGGGCTCCTCGTTTAATAACAATATATAAAAGCAATAATATATAAAGGTAGATGGGGCAAACGGTCTCAAAACAGTGGCCTTTGGATCACAAAGGCCATCAGAGTCTAGTAAGAACTGGCTAGTCATGGGGTGATCCTTCCTTCCCCTTCATCCTCTTCTAGAAGCATAAGTAGCCACTTAAACATATGTGAATTTTCATTACATTACTTTGTCAAGTAAGCAGTTACTGTAGTTTATGGATATTATTAAATTGCAAATAGAAGGTATAATTTGTCTCTTCAATTATGGGTAGGAGGAATCAGCTCCTGAAACTCCCTATTAAATGAACAACCCCTGAGAAGGATGCTTTCTAAATGCAGGATATGAAGGTATTTTTAAGGTTTAATCAGGCCCATTCTTCCTTCTCACTTTTACTTTAACTACAACTCGGATTTCATACACTGTAATTTACAGTAACTTGTGTAGCAAACCTTTAACATAAATATTTTGTCCACTGTAACACTTCCCAGTTAAATGTGTTGCACATATAGTAATTTGTCAATCCATCACTGACAAGCCACATACCTAAAACACCCAAGTAATCTCAACTAAGTATGGAAGCAAATAAAGAATTTGAAACTCACATGAGATTTTTGTATCAATTCTTCTTTTGTTATTTCACCAACTGATTCCAAGTGTGGGCAATCGCTGCTGAGTGCTGACATTTTAAAAGCAGTAGGTCCCCAACTCCTGCAGCTTTCAAGAACAGGCAATATCTACATAACAGGAATAAAAAAAGTATAACCTTTGGGAATATCTTATTGTAGACCTCTAATATCACTGTGCATCACAGCTGTATACATATAATCTTGTAGCATAATTTTTTTTTATTTAAACTTATTTTTACACACTTTATTTAAGCTTATTTTTAAACTTTATTTATTTAAAGAATGTATTTGAACTTCTTGTTTAAATATTTTCACTGACTGACTTTCACATGCATACCAGCTTCTGGCTTCTTTATTATTAAGAGCACAGACCAACTGCAGACACTTCCTCAGCCTGATGAAAGGTGCTTGTAACCAAAAGCTTGCAAAGAACAATTTTTCCAACTATTTTAGTTGGTCTAATACAAGATACTAGATTTACCCAAAGAACCTTTTCTGCCTTGTTTAAACAAAAGCATTTAGGAAATGCACATGCTTAATTTTAAAAATGAATGCAAATAACTGGACTTTTTTTTTTTAAAGCAACAGAATCCAGTAAACAAAATTAAAGTACAGGTGGCCCTCTTAAACTGCAAGCCTGACGCTTACTGAGGCAAAAAGCAATGACACCAATTCTGTGCTAAGAACAAGAACAAAACTGGTTCCACAGAATGCAGGAACATACAACTCCCTTGCAGAGAGGAAAAAAAGTTAACATGGGAAACTTTATCCTGGTCTAATTTATTTACAATGACACCCACTCTTGAATAGGCATATTAAATATCAAAAGCAAGCTAAAGCTTATCGTTTGTATGTAGTACACACCACTCTTAACTTCAACAAAATTTTCCTTTGCTCCCAACTCCTCTAACACAGAATGCATTTAAATATACTAATTTTTTGTTAGCAGTACATGGGAATTCTCTATAACCTGATCAGATATGACACTACTAGTTGGGGGAAGCAAAGATTATTTGTACTGATTACCTACAAGACCCCTTTCAACCTGGTTTCCCTTTTCCATTGCCAAGACCCTCAACTAAATCCACCTAGCCATTTCCCAAAGGCATGTCTAGACCCTGGTAGTCTTGATCTGTCTGCTGCTTTCTGCATGATTCATGACACTCCTTTGCTGCTCTTATATTGGCTTCTGCAATTCTCTTTTCTGCAGTTTGACGCTTTAGCAATCGTTCTAGTGTTTCCTCATTCTTCCCATTTACCTAATTTGTTGGCAACCCTTATTCCTTCCTGCTTCTCCATATTTGTTCCAAAGGACCTCACCAAACTCCTGGTTCCACATATTTTGTCCTTTCTCCATCTCTGAACAGTCCTTCCATCATAGCCTGATCTCCTGAACTCTCTCTTAGGCAAGGAGTTTGCAACCTTTTGCCATGGCAGGCAGCTGCTTGCAACCCAGTTCCTGGCTGAAGCCACAAATCTCCACGGTTCCCAGTAATCAACAGATGCTGTGGAGGGAATAGAAAACAAGGCAGGTGGTAGGACCATGGGGATGCCTCCTGTGCTGCACCAGTGGCAGCAGAGGAGTAAACTGAACAGAGCAGGCAGAGACCCTGGGCTGCCTCTTCCACTGCCGTGGCTGGAGTATTGGGTAGATTCCCCATGCTACCACCAAACAAATTCAGTTTCTTCATGGGCTGGATCTGGCCCTCGAGCCACAGGTTTTCAACCCATCTTAGGCCACACCTCCTACTGTAGCTGCAAACTCATTTCTCAATCAACTTCCTATTTTTTTCTCCCTTCATTATCACCATTAATTTCTTTCATTTCTAAATTCAGTATTTCCTCCATTTGACTCAACCATTTTGATTTCTCTGAGCCTGGAATCAGGACAAACTTCTTCCAGCAGCAACCTAGCCTCTGGCATTTTGTTGTGAGACAGCACAACAATTTTGGTAAACCATTATAAGAAACTCTTATATTAAGGTCTAATTGTTTGTGAGCTGAGAAAGCCAGAAATGCTGTAGCAGACAAAGACAAAACTTGTTTAAGCTATGGTTCTGAAGCAGTGAATAGAAATTAAGAATTGTCACACCTAAAAGCAAGGTACAACTGGGGACATAATCCTCAAGTTTTATAAAACAAGTATCTACCTGAAACACAGCTTCAAACTATCTGACAAGTGTTGAAAAAAGGTAGCTTTCTAGCTCAAAAAGTAGTAAAAAATGTGTCTGCACTCGATGTTTAAAAACATTTAAAAACTCTGCTCCTACATACTGTCATAATATTATATAAACCCAAGTACATGTTAAAGTAAAAATGAACAGGGTACCTTTCCCAAATTCTTTTAATATTAATAACTCCAGCTAAAATACAAAAATCAATTCCTTTACTATACAGAAAAGGAAACAAGGATGTAGGCTTCATCTTGCACATACTGGAAGCCCTACCAAGGCATTGGATTTGGATGACTGAGTTCTAAATAAAGCTCATATCATCTCAAAAACCTCAGGACTGTATTAATGCTGAAGATCAATGCAAATACCTTGGAAGGAAGAGTATAATGGATTAGTAAGCCTAAAGGCTTAATTATTTGTATGTAATAAGATTTCTGAATGTATTACTTTAAGTAACACAAAGCAAGCTAGCGGAGAGCTCATCTTGTATTATTAGATCCGTAGCTAATGTGCTGCTTTTCACTTCTCAAACTGCTTCAAGCCTAACCTGCAGTCCTGCAGGTTGGATGCAGATTTAGGAGTTCAGTTCTATTTTTCATACAGTTGGTACGTGATCACAAAAATCAAGATCTAATTTTCCACATGGAGCCTATACCAAAAAAACATTAAGCAAGCATATCAAGACCAAGCCTTAAACTTTTTCATCTTTAAGAAAAGGCTTCTTTATCACAAGCTAGTTGTTACTGACATACAAAAAATGCATACGCAATATATTTGACTCATATAGGTGCAACCAAGTGGTCTCTCCTCTCTTTCACCTTCCTTTTCTTTCCTGTGGCCACAATGCTAGCTTGCACACGCTAGTGTCCCATCATTATCATATCTATTACAGTATTCTCTTCCCTTGCTTACTTGTCTTTTTCTATGGCAAACACTTTCTATCCCATTCAAGATGCATCCGTTAAAAGCATTTTCTTTTCCCTTTTCTCTGACCATGCATTACTCAAATCTCTTCACTAAATTAAAGTTTCTCCACTTTAAGCAACCCATACACTCCACTACTGCCTACAAGTCTGCCCCTTCCCTATATTTTGCATTTCATTCCCTCTCTATGCTCTGCCCTGCGTCTTTGGGTGACTTTCAATTTCGTGTTTCCATTTACATTGAATATTTACATTTATGGAAGTAGCAAAGAGCCCCACTTACATAATGCAAGATGTAGCATGCCCTAGAAAGCTTACAGTCTATATAGACAAGACAAAAATGGAAAAGGGGAAACAAAGGAACAAGGGAGGAAGCAAAAGTGGGGGTGGGGAGCGGGAAGAGGGAAAAGAACCCAACTTGCCTTACTTCCAGTTCAGTGCCTTATGCACCGTGACATACGTGGTCCCTTTTAAATGCCCCTTGTTCATTCAGAAAGACCTTCCAGGTAGTACACTTCTAGCTCTTTCTGCCGTTACAAAAAGCTTGTTCCAGCCCACCCATCAGTCCATAACATATTCTCATTGTACCGACCAGGCCACTTGCTCCTCAGGGCAGGGACAAGGTACTAATTTAGCACATTTTAATTTACTGTATCATGTACAGCAGTGATTCAATACAAATAGCAATGAGCCTAGATTCGAAGGCTCATCGTAAATTGAATGTAGTTTTATATAACGTTCTTTTATTTATTATATCAAGTCTGCTCAGTAGAACACTACCAGAGCAATGTGAACTGCATCTTAAAGCATGATGTGGAGCAGCTTCTTTCTCCATTTATAATTCATTATAAATTCCACAGCACCATAGGCTTAGCATGGTGCTAATGGTAACAAGCCACTTACCTCATACATAAAGGTCCTACCAACCAAAAAGGTCCCTAACCCCTCAAACATTACTAGAGACTATTAATCAGTTCCCAAAGTTTTCCTTAGTCTAATGCAGCGACCCTTAAAGCCTTCTCCTTAGTTCCCCTCTGATTTAGTTACCACCATGATATACTCAAAAGAAAATCATATACAGTATGTATTTAATGTTAACCTTCCTGTTTGCCTTCAACTTATCTATCAGTTAACACTTATTTTTTCCTCTGAACGCTGAATATGAATGCATGCATTAGCGACACAAAAGGTTAAACTATTAAATAAGTATGTTTACACCAGTAATGCACTACTGGTTAACATTTAGCATGGGGCACAGTCTGGCTGGGAAGGGAAACAGCACAGTGCCTCAGGAACAGGAAGAGGGCAGGGCATGCAGGAGGGAGGAGCGAAGGCTGGGGTGGGGTTAGTACCCATAGTCTGCTCCCTCCCTCCCAGGGCAAAGCCTTACTTAAGAGGACAAAAACAATAGTAATAGTAAAGCCCAGCAAGGTTCCTAATAAAGCTGAGAACTACCACCCAATAGCATTATTATAGGACTTACAAATTATTATACAATTTACAAATTATTAGGAAGACTGATATATAATAGAACTTTTCAGATTATAAATGAACATACCCCTCCTGAGCAAGCAAATCAGGTTTAGACCAAACAGATGATGCTGCTATCAAATCATGGCCCTGACTACCAGGTTTTGAAAAGTCAATAAAAACTGTAGCTGTTTCCCTTGATCTCTTGGCTGCATATGATACAGTCTAGAGACAAGGACTTACCTTAAAGTTCTTGGACATCATACCTTGTCTAGTAAATTAGCAGTTTTAAGACAACTTGCTTAGCAGTAGATAGTTCCAGATTTTTTTCTGATAACATTAAGAGTAGGCCACATAAATTGAACAACAAACTCCCAAGGGGATCAGTTCTTGCACCTTTGCTGTTTAATTTTTACATTCATGACCTCCAGGCACCTTCTCAAGAAACGTCATACAGGCTGATGACACAGCTCTCATTACGCAACAATCTTGTTTCTCCAGAGCAGAAGTAATACTCACAACAGATCTGAATACTTTAGAAACCTACTTTAAATAATGGCATCTGCACCCAAGCCCTGGGAAAACAGAAGCGTCTACATTTCACTTGAACAATAAACAAGCTAATTAGCAACCCATTATTGTTTTAAAAGTCAGCTCTTAAGTTATAAGAGTACTCCTAAATATTTAGGAATCATCCTAGATAGAACACTGTGCTATAAAAATCACTTAACTATGACAGCAGTTAAGTTAAAAAACTTGTAATAATATGTTCCAGAAACTCACTGGGACTTCCTGGGGAGCTGATGCTGATGCACTGAGGACAACAGCCTTAGTGCTGGTTTACTCTTCGGTGGAATACTGTGGTCCAATTTGGTTAAAGTGCTCACACTGATAAGGTTGACAGAGACATATAACAGACTGAATCATTACAGAAACAATTTGATCTACCCCTCTTCAACAGCTCCCTATTCTTAGTAACCTACATCTTCTCTCATGAAGAAAAAAATGCCTTAACTAAATTATGAACTAAAATAAAAAATAACCCACAGCTGCCTACACAAAAGATTTCTTAAACCCACGTCCAAGACTAAAATCTAGACATCCCAACAGGAGAACAGCAATTCAACTTGAGCAAGATTCATTTAACATCCAAGATGCCTGGATGCAAATGTGGCTCAATTCATCCCCTAACACAGAAAATATTACTACAAATCCCACTATCAGACAAACCAGCTTTGATCTCCCTAGACGTCTTTGGTCTTCTCTAAACAGAATCGGGACAGGACACAGCAAATGTGTATTTCTGTAACATTGGTGGGGCTGGACTAGATCACAGAACTGCAGCTGTGGTGCCCCCTTTCAAACTTTGAATCATATCACCCCTGAATGCTCTCTTCATACACTTAATGGAACTCTATTGGATCTGAACAATACTACACCTAAGGCAATGAGCTAGCTGCAAAATTTGGACATAAAATTGTGAATATGTTTCTCCTTGCTTTGTGATCCCTGTATCATCAAATGCTAAATAAAAAAAGTGGCTGCAGCAGGCTGGGAAAGCTGGCTGCTGCCACCCCTGGCTTCATGGTGGGCTGAATTATCTGGCGGGGCTTGGTGCCACCTCCCCCCAACTCAGTCAAAGGCCCTAGGGAGTGGTTCCCAGCACTAGCCCCTGGCTCCCCATGCTTCTCTGGGCAGGTGACTGCAACATCTCCCCTGTGGCAGGGTGGGGCAGGCCCTGGCCCAGGGCTCTGCACCCCCCAGCCGGCACTAGGCATGCATTATTGATTAACTGTTTAACCGATATAATTAGAGATGGTTACATGGATAATTTTTTTTAACGCTATTTACATCTCTAGCATGTATACATGAATAGAATCCAACTATATCAGTTTTGTAAGGCTCCTAAATATACTGGCATTACAATTCCTTCCTTTTTTGTGCATTTATGACAAAGTATTTAGCAGAATTTACAGATTCATTGGAATCTGACAGGCTATGCCAGGAGTGCTTCTGTCATGGCCTCCTTGTCATTTCTATTAAAAACACAGAAATCAAATCATGAGAAACTACATTGGAATCTTGGTACAATTTTTCAATGTAGTTTACAGAATTAATAATGTTTACTAACAATACAGGTAATTGTTTTATATAGCATTATATGCTAATCCTGAAATCTTCACACGCTGTAATCAATGACAACAAAGATAAAATTTTTAAAAGACATTGAGAAGTACTAAATACGATCAAATTAGGTCCTGACTCCATGAATACTTGCCTACCCAGAGAAAGTTACAGGTTCTGGGCTTTGATTTGTATCTGCAATTATTTCCAAGACTATGCAAGGAAGTAAGAGTACTTTATTTCAAATTCTCATTCCCCCAAATCAGACTCTGTGACTACAAGCTTATATTGGAAGATTTAGACACAAAAACAAATTTTAAAAAAAGGAAATCAAGAAGTTCTGCATCTTCCAGCAACCACTGCACTTTAAAAAAACTTTATTCAATGTACAGCCATACAGAAGTTGGGCATCCAGTAGGCTGAGGGGCTTCAGAAAACCTTCAATATTTTAATTTTCAGATGCATATACTTGGGCAGCTCCAAAATCAGTAACAAGTCATACAAAATAACAAATAATACAAATACATGATGAATGATGCAAAAATCAATGCTTACAAAAATCGGAGCGCTTGAGAAGTCCTGCCACGGTACTCGCAGGAGCACAGGGAAGTCGGGCTGGAAGGGACGTCCAGGGTTTCACCGAATCCTAGGAGATCAGAGGAGGAAGGGCCCGCAGGAGGTCACCACTAGTCCAACCGCTGCTCACAGCAGCACCACATCATCCCAGCCAGGGCTTTGTCTTAAAAACCTCCAAGGATGGCGTTACCACCACCTCTCTGGGCAGCCCGTTCCAGTGCTTCTCCACCCTCCTAGTGAGGAAATCTTGCCTAATATCCAACCTAAACGTCCCTTGCTGCAACTTGAGCCGACGGCTCCTTGTCGTGTCCCCTGCCCCGCAGAGAACAGTCTCCCGGGCCCGCACGGAGCGGCCGCCCCTCTCCCGGCTCAGCAACCCCGGGCTAGTCCACCCCCTCCCTGAGGCAGGATCCTTCCCACCCGAGACGCGCCCCAGCGGGGCACCGACCCAGGCTCCGAAACGAAGCCTGCAACGCAGCCCTGGCCGGGAGCCGCTCGCCCCGCCGCGGGCCCCGCTCGACCCGGCCTTTCCCCTCCTCGGAGGAGCGAAGCCGGGCAAGAGGGCAGCCCGCAGGCGCCACGACGCCGCCCCTTGGGTCCCTCCGGCTCCTGCCCTCGGAGCTGGGCGGCAGAGCGGACCGAGCCCAGGATCCCGCCGCACCTGGGCCGCCGGGCATGCCGCTCACACCGTTCTCTACCCCAGCCGGCGAGCGCGCCCCGCACAAAGATGGCGGCGCAGAGGCGTCCCTCCCTCCTCGCCCCTCGGACACACGTGGGGGCGCCCCGCACAAAGATGGCGGAGGGGGAGCCCACCCCCAGCCCACCCCTCACCAAGATGGCGGCGGCGGGCAGCTTGCCCCGGGGTTTCGCGTGGGCAGGGCTCGGGGTTGTACCGCACAAAGATGGCGGCGGCGCGGGTCCACATTCGTGGCTAGCCCCTCCGCCTGGCTTCGCGTTGACCCCGGAAGCGGATGCGCCGCTGTCTCCTAGCAGCCGTCGCGGGGGCGGGACTGGGGCCGGGGCTGCGAAGGGCCGCTGCTGCTCGCGGGGCCCGGCAGGTAAGCAGGGGCGCGGCCTAGAGTAGGCGCGCCGTCCCTTCCCCCGCGGGGCCGAGCAGCCCGCGCCGTCCCCGCCTCTGTGGCAGGGAGCAAGCGAGCGCCTCCTGCTGCGAGTCGCTCCCTGCTTCTCCTTGCAAATCCTTCCCCGCAGGCCGCTGTTGCTCCCCCTGATGTCCAGTGCTGCCCCCTGCCAAGGGCCGAGCGGGCTGGAGGTCGGGCCGAAACCTGCCGCGCCCTGCTCAGCTTCTTGGTAGAGGCGAGGGAGGAAGATGCCGGCCCGCCTCTGCGCCCTCTGTAACCCCGGGCTTTGACAGCCTGCAGAGAAAAGGCCGAGGGAGGTGTAATTGAGCACATCGCTTTCATTTGACAGGGGATGCCAGTGGCAGGTGACTGATGCGGCCTCGAGGTAGTTTCGCTTAATGAGGTTATGGGAGAGAGAGAGCCATGTCCGAAGAAGCAGTTAGTGAGACGCACTTTTCTCTGAAGACAGCAGCTTTGCGAGTGTTTCATCTTCCCCTTTCCTGGTATTATTCTCTCATCCAGGTAACGAACGAAATATTGCGTTATCCTCATTCGTGGCGTTTTCATCCATGGATCGGAAACAGTTTCAGTTACTTTATTTATTTATTTTTTTACAGTATTTTAAATGATTGAGCTCCTGGGGGGCATAATATTTGGTTACGTCTTCATTAAACGTTTTCCCCCAGGAATATCTTTGTTCCGGTTCTCACACAATGTGCACACGTGACAGACAAAACTATTTTGTTGGTTTTTCTCCCTTCTACTCCCTCAAGTCAGTTGTATGTCAGATAATAGAAACGACTCTCTCTGCAAACCCATAGTCTTCGTGGCAGAGTAATCATTGCAGCATTGTAGCACCTCTGATCAAACCAAATATCATGCTCTTCACTTTTGTTTTTCACAGGAAAATTTGTCAGTTTCTTTAAAAGTTTAAATGCAAAAGTCATTAACCCAAATAATCGTATTGGGCATGTTCCAAAATATTTTGCAGATTGTAGATATTTTTTCTTTTTTGACTGTATTTGTTTCGATGAACTACTGCATCATTGTGAAGATTCACCCAGCTGACAGTGTTTTCGATTGATTTACAATAAGTGATATAGTACTGAGACACGGCTGGTTTAAATCCAGTCTGTTGGGGTTTTTTTTATGTCAATATAGTCCCTTGTAGTTGAACATAACAAAGCTTTAGTTAATCACTTTTTTTGGCTTTTATGCAGATGGTTTTAGCATTGATTTATTGCCATCCATTTTCTTGCTGTTTTATATGCTAATTTGCTGTATGTAAATAATAGTACTGGTGGGTAATGAATGATTTATCTTTAATAGTAAAGAGTCCATTGTATTCTTAGTTTCCAGACTCAGAGCTGAGCAGCATCATGGAGTTGACACTCCCTGTCTGCAGGGGAACGTGTCCCTGGAACATTCTTTAATAGAAAGTTAGGGTGGAGAATCAATATTTCTGCTTTGACTACAGCCAAAGGAGGAGGCAGTTCTCTGTCAGATATAACTAGGGCATGTTTCTGAGCAACACCGTGAAATCAAACCTGCTTAAATAACTCTAAGCTTTGTGAAATGGGAAAACTGCTTCCATATTTCTTATTGACAGAAAAAGTCCACATTCTATGCTGTAGTGTGTTGAAAAAGATGCTACTTTTCTGTTAATATAAGGAGGGAGATTGTGAGCTTGTTCTTTATTTAATCCATGCAGCCATCCTGACAGGTGTGATTTTAAGCAAAATATGATCCATCATCAGGACTCTGGCACTTTTTTAAGAGGAAAGATGTTACTGAGTCATTAATGCGGATCCTGTTTTTCTCCGTTTAAAAATTCAAAATTCTCTGATTAAAACCCCACAAATTCATGGTTTTTTCTGCCATTAAAATGGAATGCCACTATATATATAGGTATCGGCTGAACACAATGTTTTATTGATATATTTACCAGTTTAAAGCAGCGTGGAAGCCTACCAGTGCCTCAGTCATTATAATAAAATAAATTCTAAATACCTATAAACTTTGGCATTTGATTTTGGTATTTTTTATTATAGAAAATCGGAGCACCTCCTGCCCCTTTCCCTCACGAGGACACAGGTCCAGCTGCAGCTGTCCCCACAGCTGTTTTGTGGCACAGAGCATCACTGATTCGCTGTTGCTGTGCCCCTGCTGTTGCCCCTCACTCCTGACCAGCACCCCTTGACTGCCCCCGACTTGCTTCCTCCTGGCAGCAGCAGCGCCCCCACTGCACCAGGCCACAGGTCCAGCTGAAGCTATCCTGCCTGATGCTTTGTGGCTCTGAGCAGTGCTGGCCCTTGCTCTTCTGCTCCCTGTGCCCAGGGCCCAGTGGTCTCCATAACCTTCCTGGGAAGCCCTTGACAGGGCTCAGGGACTGGACTGGACTGGGCCTGCCTCTGGCTGGACAAGCCCCTTCTCTTCTATGCTAGTCTCCCTCTGCACAGGCAGCTCTAGGAGGGCAGGGGGTCTCCAGGCCCAGTTCTAGTGGCCACTTTTACCTGGAGCACCTCCCCACCCCATCTTTCTTTCTTGCAGACCCTTCCCTGTTTCCACCCCCAGCCTATCACATACGCACACACACGTAGACCCTGCTGCTACTTTAATCCTCTTTGCAGGGCCCCCAGTCACCCCCCAGACCTCAAAAGCTCTACTTACCCCAATGGCTGCAGGAGGGAAAGTCAGTCTGAGCCAGCACTGGCTGGTCTCAGATTCTCAGGCTTTGCCCCACCCTCTGCAGACAGGGCTTAGGGTTTCCTGACCTTTTGCAGGTAGCTCTTGCAGGCTGGAACTCTGCCCACCAGCAGAGAGCTGTTTGCAAAAGGGAAAATCTGTGGTTTCCTCCTTCAAAGGGGAAAATCCACATTTTTCTTATTTAAAGGGGAAATCCATATTTTTCTGCAGGAAACAGAAAACCCAGATCCCTAAGCATTAAATCTTAATACCTGTCCAAAGCCAGTGGCATTGATAAAGCCCTGTTTTATGTTTAATAATACAAGCTGCCTGAAACATCTTTATCGTATTACATAAATATAAATGTGTACATACATATACATACACATACATACATATACATGTTTTAGTACAAATATTAAGAAGAGTGAATATTCTTATTGTCTCTCATGTGACTACCCCAGGACTTTTAATTTTTCCAACATGGAAAAAATAAATTCCTTACCAAGAGCTCACATTGCGTGTTCTGTATTGCTGCAGTGGTTTTTCTAGAGCTCCTGCATCTCTCAAGTCTTGTATTAACTCTGGGATTAATTATACATCCCTGGAGATACCAGTGTGTGTCTGTTCACTTGTTTACCATCTTCTGCATGTCCAGTGGGATGGAAAAAAAGTCACGGAACATCTAGTTGCAGTTATTAAAACCTCTGAAATGTAGTGTCTACTTGGTTGAAATGCATTTGTAAATGCATTTATAATTATTATATGAAATGAATATGAACTTAGGTGTAATATTTTTCTTAATTTAATCTTTTGTACAGTATTACTGTATCTTTACTGTTTTTACAGCGAGTGATTTTTTTTTTTTTAAGCATTAAAGTAAATTTTATGTTTTAATACCTGAACTAAATCCTCTGCTTTGGTTTAGATTAGGAGTGGGTAATTATTTGGGCAGGAGGGTCACTGGGGGAGTTTGGGTGTGCTGTTATGGGTTGGGTCAACATTCCCCCCACACTCCCCCCCACACTCTTCCCTTCCCACTGCTCACAAATACTCACCAAAACTCTCTGTGGCTTTGCCCTGTAGCCCGGCCCTGTGCTCTCACTGCCCAGCAATCCCAGGGTCGCCGTGGAGGTTGGCCCGAGACCCACATGGGCAGGGCAGGCTTCAAGGGCGACGCATAGGGGGTGCATGTGGGTGCACGTGCACCCCCTGAGTATGACAGTGCACCCCCCGCCTGCAGGCAGTTGCCACTCGCCAGCCTGCCACCGACACCGCCAGTGGTGTCTGCGAGTGGTCCATGATTGCCCCTGGCTGCCGGGAGCACCTGTGGGTGGACAGTGTTGTCAGCGTCTGTGGGAGCTCCCAGCTTACCACCACTGTTGCTGTGCTCCTGCTGCCGCCAGGACAGCTGTGCCCCCACAGCCACCAGGGGCACGTGCCATTCGTGGCATGCTTGGTCAGGCAGATGGGGGCTGTGGGTGGGCCTGGAGCAGGATGAGCAGGCAGGGTTGGGGATGGGATGAGGAGTATGGGGTACTGACAGAGTCAGGCTGGGGCTGAGGGCAGAGCTTTTATCCACTTCCTGCATGCTCCTGCCCATGGAATTGGCGCATTGCAGGAATGTGCAGGCAGTGGATTGTGGCTCTGTCCTGGACACTGCAACTGCCTCCTCATCCCAATGCTGGCCTTGACCCTGCCTGTCCATCCTGCTCCCAGATGCCACTCCCCGCCCTTCCACGACCACATCCCATCTGTCCAAATGCAGACCTTGCCCATGTGGGTCCCAGGCCAGTCTCCATGGAGGCTCTGCCCATCTACTTCATCTGGTACCCCCAGTGGTGTGTGTGGGGCAGACAGGTTGGGGTACCCAGGCAGCGGGGCCAGGTCTAGCTGTGGTGGCAGAGACTGGCAGTGGCAGCTGGAAGGAGTCATCTATGTGGGGGTATCTGAGAAGTGAATCCAACCATGGCACTGCCGCAGCCCAATACACCACATCTCAGGCTGCCCTCTGCACAGAGTGCCATGTGGGGCCAAGGGACTTGCTGCAGGCCAGAAAAATCCCTTGGCAGGCCAGATCTGGCCCACGAAATATGTTTTGCCCACCTCTGCTTTAGATACAGTCAGTAAACATGAGGTTGGGGATGCTGCCTTTTCAGCTGTCTGACCCAGGTCAGGGGCTGCATCATCAGTGCAGTGCAGGGCTCACAGTGGCAAGGAGCTTCCCCACCCAGCCCCGCTCTGCCTTACTACGCCAGGTCCCACCTGCTGTGCAGTGGAGGCCCTGGGGAAGGGCAGCAGGGCAGGGAACTCTGAGCCTGCACTGGGCAGCCTGCATCTGTGGGGTATGTGCTCCCCCAGGAGTGCGCACAACAACAGGGAGCCAGCCCTGCCCCCTTGATAAGCTGCCTGCAGATCTGTCCCACTCCCTGCCAGAGTCCTGCAATCACACAGTGCAGCCCCAAGCCCCATGCACCACATGGCTTGGCACCAGCCCCAGCCCTGCCCAACTTGAGACCCTGTGAGGGCCTCAATTCCCCACTTCTGCCAGACTTACCTGTAGGAGCTGCTTTCCAGACTGCCTGGAGGCCATGTGCACATACATGCACATGGTGCCCCCTACCAGCCTGCCCTCCTGCCGTTCCCGGCAGCCCCTTGCAGGCTGGAACTCTGCTAGTCTGCGGAGAGCTGTTTGCAAAAAAGCAAGGTCTGTGTGCATCTCCTTTAAAAGGTAAAATCCATGTTTTTCTCTGATAAAAGGGAAATCTGTTTTTTTTTCCATGGGAAATGGAAAACCTGGATACCTGCTCGTGATTCCTTGTACTACAATAAGCTTGGTCACTCTGATTCTTTCCTAGTGAACTGAAGCAGAACTTTTGTCCTGGGCACCTGGGTGATGGCGGGTGGAATTACCTTACATTCTCACTGAGAAGTGGGTGGGTAACTAGCTCCCCTGGCCAGGCTAGCCAACCCAGGAGCAGCACCCTATAATAACTGCGTAGTGAAGAGGTGCTCTTGATGTATTTCAGATAAAGCTTTCTCCTGGGTTGAAGAAGCTGTTTGCAGTAACAGCAGTGAGTGCAGTATCTGTAATTTTTCTGGCCCGCCATTTTAAAAGAAGACGAGGAAAGAAAAGCCGGAAAGTGTCACCATGGGAACCAGGCCATCTTTTGCTAGAATGTACAAAAACGGCTGCATCGGAAAAAGGTACGTGGGGAAAACCAAAAGTGCCTTTTATTTTTCTTCTTCTCCATGGGAAAATTATTATTATTGAAGTAAACCCAAAACTATTTCCATTTTAATTTTAGGGGTGAGTGGATGGGAAAGAGAAATGTGTGTGTTTTGTGATACTAATGAAGAGAAAGCATAGAAACAAAAATTAAAATGGTGTTTTACCTTAGGCAAAGAATAGCTCTGAATGCTAATGTTTTAATGATCTCTTGAAAATGCTCTTTGAATCCAAAGCCGAAAGCTAACAATTGCCTGTTAAGCTTCAAAATGTTCTGAAAATCCCTCCAACGTTGAAAGAAATGGAGTGATTGCTTATACAACTAATGTACTTATTAAGTTCTAACTATTGTTCTTGCAGGTGTTCTAACTGCATTCATATATGTAAGTACTTAAGTGAGGAAAGGTTCATTGTGGTTCAGGACTAACTATAGTAATGTACTGGATTAGACAAAGTTCTGGGCAAAGCACCTTGGGTACAATGATTCCAATTGCAAAAGTTTTAAAATTGGTTTCTGTTTGTTAGGTTCCAGTTGTTCCAGTAGCAGACAAAACTTGACCCTTTCTTTGAGTTCAGCCAAAGAAAAAGGATCTCAGTCTTGTATCTATGCAAATGGAGGACCTTTTAGTAAATATTCTGGTTCAGTACAGAGTTTGGCCTCGGTAAGTATAAGCCATCTTTAAGGATTTCTTGTACAATAAACTAAACAGACTTCTGAGCTTTAAATTGTGCTGCCTACTGTGAATGTACTCAATGCTTCTATTGACCTGATATGGTTTGCCTGTACCAGGAATGCTAGGCACGCAGAAAGATGGCATCTGTGGGGAAGTCTAGCTTACTTTCTGTAATAAGAGCAATGAAACAAATTCTGTGTTCTGTATATCAAGCATACAGCCAGCAGGCCAGATTCAGCTTGTAGAACTGTTCCATTTAGTGCATCATTAGCTCGGTGGGCTACTAGAAGCTGGGAAGTATGGCCTGTTGCAGAATTCAGGATCTGTGGACCCTGGTAGACATGGCAGTCAGCACCAGCCCTCCAGCTCCCACTGCTGCCCTAATGAAGACTCCCATGCTGGCACACCCCTTTGGATCTGCGCTGCTGCCCAGCCAGAGCCTTATGCTGCTGCATGCCCCCTGCTTTGTGCTGCAGGCTGGCCAGGGTTCTGTGCTGCCACATGGCTCCAGACCCGTGCTGCTGGGCACAGCTCCATACAGTTGCTTCTGACCACATGGATCTGGCCTGTGGTCTGGATCCAGCCTGAAGTGATTTGACACCACTGTTGTAAACTATTAGTACATGAGCTGAGGAGCTCATGAAGCCCTGGGGTTGGATAGCTCTTGTGCAAGGAGCAGTAAGAATAAAAACAGTTCTCTGTAACCTTTCAGAGAAAGCCAGGGAGGAAAGGAATTGGCAGCAGCCCCTCAGTTTGAGTTCTGGTAAGAAGGGGAGTTCTTTCTCTTCTACAGATGCCTGGTATATGCTATGGTAAAGATCAGTGTCATTTAGGCTGTGGATGTTCACTAGGTTCTTTTGACTTCTGTGGGGTTATGCTACCATGGAATCAGATAATTTGGGCATTCATCATCAAATTTAACTTGGAATTTCTCCACTTCTGAAGCTTCTTCCTCTTCTCTTGCCCCCAGTTGGAGAAAGTGAAGCCAGTTACACTCTACTTCAACTATCCCATGTTTTTAAAGACTCACATACGAAATTCTTTCCTCTTCTGTGCCTGCTGTCCTTATTCGAGCAAGTTTTAGTACAGGGGTCTTAATAATAAACTTCTCCACATTTGAAAAAGTCTGGTAGTCCAGTGTTAACTCTGGCCACTGTCATTACTGGCATCTGAGTTAAGCCACCTACAAACAGTCTCTGCTCTCTCCCAGGAGAAACAACAAGTACTATATACAGATATTCAGGCCTTTTCTCTCAAAGGAAAAATGGATGCTCCAGGAGAGAGAAATCACTTCCAGGAGAGTTTCACTTATGAGAGTAAATGGCTATACAACTTACCCTACTGAGAGAAGCCACAATTGTGTTCTCCCCCAGCCCAGGAACACAGTGTGTAGCTTGGCAGACTCTGTTATTCCAACTGAGCAGGGAGCAGAAAACGCCCCATTTACAAATTCTGTATTTTGCTGCAGGAAAACATAAGCTGACCCTGAGCAATCTAGGTCAGCCAATCAGGGCTGCCCTATGTATTGCTGCTATCTGTCTCTGGGCAAACTGAGGGGGCCTGCAGAGCATCCTGAGATGTGTGCACAGGGCGCCCCTGGCTGCACAGCATCGGCACAGAAAACTCTGTTCTTCAGGGGCTCAGCATGTGAATGTGTGTTCAGGCATCTCTGGATAAGTTTGTCTACCAGAAGAGCAAACCTGGGAGAATTCTCCCAGGTCATTTGAATGTGTGTATTGTTTTAGTTTCCAGTCTCAGTTAATGAGACTTTCACATCTCCTGCATGTTATAGGCATCTGTCAAGTTGTGCAGAGAGCCTCTACATTAGTTGCACTTGCTTTGTGGTTTCCATAGTAATCAGGATTTTTATTTTTTTTTATGAAATGAAAGCTGAAACTGAGGAATAGTTGTAGTCTGTCCACACCCAGCAACTTAAATATTTATGTGCCCTCTGCTCACCCACTCCCAAAGGAGGCTTTGGATTACATATTACACATTATGTTACGTTAGTGCTAGTGCTTTAGTGAAGGTGTCTCCTTTGCCCCACTGTGGTGGTAGATTGGGATCATAAGCCATGATGAATGTGTTCTCTTGTTAGTGTATGCACATTTTTACATGTATAGAGTTTTATTGACACCTTTCATTTTGTAATGAATTCAGCTAATGTTAGAAAAAAATCAGTGGGATAGTTTGCATTGTATACATACTTAACAGCAAACAATAGACATTGTCTGGTAAATGACAGGCTTAGAGATATGTATATTTTAAAAACTTTTCATATGAGTTTATAATTGTTTGTTAAACAGTTTTGAACAATGATTCTTATCACTGATTATTTTCTCAGTGTGATAATGGGTTACTATTGATTTGATTTTGTCTCACAAATGAATTAGCTAGTGAGACTAAGTATCAACATATCCATGACATAGTTATTAATATTGGAGTTAGGTTTGCAAAGAAACATTTCTCTTGATCTGAACAGAACCATCATGCTTTGAAAAATAATTTGTTGCTGAAATTAGGTAAGTATCCCTGATTTGTAGCTGCATGAGGAAATGCTACTGCATCAAGAGAGATCAAGTCTTTGTTTAATAATGCACCCAATTTTTTTAGGTTCAAAGTGCTACCTCCTGTCACAGCTGTGTTTGTGCCAATTCCAATTCCTGGGATAAAACAGATGAAGATGATATTAAACTTGTGAATATTCCAGTTACTACTCCTGAAAACTTGTACTTAATGGGTAGGTTATAATAAAATGTGATGCCTGTAAGTTTTGCTTTTTGCTAACTATTTTCAGCTACTTTGTTTCATGGTAAAATGATTTCTATGCAATATTGTCATGATAGGGTCTGAAGGTGTCCTGCGATTATTAATCTTTCTACTACATGATAAAGGAACTTCTTCCTGCTACATCTTGAATACCAAAATGTTGGAACAATTTTATCTGAAGATAATTGGATAAGATGAGAAATGATATTTTTATTGCTGAGTGAACTGAAGTGTTTCCCTGGTAAAGCAAAAACATGTATTTTTTTTTTTTTTAAATAAAGAAATTGACCTTTCAGTTGTAATTAACTGAGTGGGGGCTTATCTGTAACAAAGTAAGTAAAAGAGAGAAATTCCTGCTGAACTGCTTTGTTGCTTTATCATTGCTCTGTAAGGAACTTCCTTCTGGTTTCTACTAGAAATTTACATTCTTTTTTTTTAAGAGAGAAAAGAAAAGCTTTCCAAGCATGATGTATTTAAGCCTTTTATACCCATGGTTGGTTGGAAACACTGAAAAAAGATGCAGAGTGTGTGTCTACACAAGACACTTGAGTGTGAAGTAGCATAGTTTACTGGGCAGTAAGCATATGCATCTACACGTGCACATCCTTACTGCACAATAAACCTTGCTAATCGTGAGTAAATTTGCTACTTGTGTTTTCAGGTAGGTAAATTTGCTACCTGCAAATGCAAGTAGCAAATTTTACTTGTAATTGCTAACTGCTCAGTAGTGGTTGTGTAGAAGCCTGACCAGGAGCAAATTTGCTCCCGGTCAGCCAGCCGCCGGAGGGCAGGAGATTGCTCCCTGCCCGCAGGAACTGCCTGCTGCCAGGTTAGGCTCTGCCACTGGAGGCAGCAGAGAGCTCCAAGGCCCCCCACTCCAAGGCTCTGAGATCTTCGTATAGATTCATAGATGTTAGGGTCGGAAGGGACCTCAATAGATCATCGAGTCCGACCCCCTGCATAGGCAGGGAAGAGTGCTGGGTCTAGATGACCCCAGCTAGATGCCTATCCAACCTCCTCTTGAAGACCCCCAGGGTAGGGGAGAGCACCACCTCCCTTGGGAGCCCGTTCCAGACCTTGCCCACTCGAACTGTGAAGAAGTTCTTCCTAATGTCCAGTCTAAATCTGCTCTCTGCTAGCTTGTGGCCATTATTTCTTGTAACCCCCGGGGGCGCCTTGGTGAATAAATACTCACCAATTCCCTTCTGTGCCCCCGTGATGAACTAGGTATGTATGCCTCCTCTCCAAGAATGGGAGCAAAAAAAAAACAAAACCAAAAAAAAAAATCAAAGCAGAGAGAGAGAGAGAGAAACCCAGACCAGTTGGTAGCTGATGGAAAATTCAAATCAAAAGAACATGAGGGCAAGAGAAGTGGGAGCTTCTCTGAAAGTGACTGCTGCAGCAGGGAAAAACTCCTGGCATGCAGGAAACCCAGGGCAGGAAGCAGCTTCCAGACTCCCCAGGCTGCTGGAAACTATGAGCGTCCCGGTAACTGGAATTTGTTATCATTAGTAACAATAAAAGGCTCTACATGCAACTGTGCTTCCCTGCAGACAAATAAAAGCTCAGGTCTAGGACCATTCAGGGAGCAGGTTGGAGTTCATTACAATTCCGCTGCTCCATATCTTGATCAAGGAGTGGGGATTGGAAAATTGCAGAGCTGAGCAGGGAACAGGCTCTCCAGCCCCCACCCTATAATTATGTAGCCAGGGGCTGGGAACTGTTTCGGTCAGGGGCAGGTCCCAGCCCTGCGCCCCAACTGGGCAATTGAGGCATGGGGCTTGGAAAGAGCTGCAGGGGTGAGGCAGGTCCCAGCCCCATGCCCCAATCTGTCAGTAGGGCATCTGGTAGCGAGCCTTCAACGGGGAATCTCCACTCATCCAGGGGCTCACTGCCAGCTGCACCACCAGCAGAATTGGGGCAGGGGCCTAGAACCTGCCCCACCCCTAAAGCTTTTTCCAAGTCCCTTAACCCGATCAGGGAGCCAGGGCTGGGAGCTCCCAGTTGCTGGGACAGATGGACTTTGTCTCTGCTCCTGCAGCAAGCAATCACCCAGGTCCCAGCCACAGTCAGGAGACAGCAAGCTGTCTCCTGGCCTGGTGCTCCCTGCCAACCCCTGGGCTAGCACCCAGGGGAAGCCCAGAGCTCCCCCTGGTGGCAGCAGGGGCCCATTGCAATGCCCCAGGAAGCAAAAGCAGTTTGCTGGCATTGGTAGCAAATCTGCTTCTGCTTCCTTAGGCGTGTAGATGCCTGATCTAATGCACATGTAGACACACCCAGAAACTTTTATTTTAATAGAATGGAGATGTTGTTTATTTGGGGTTTTTTTTAAGGTATGGAGCTTTTTGAAGAGGCACTACGTCGGTGGGAGCAGGCACTGACTTTCCGTACCAGACAAGCTGAAGATGAAGCAAGTTGTAGTTCCATCAAACTAGGAGCAGGAGACGCCATCGCAGAAGAGAGCGTAGAAGTAAGCATTAAACTGTGCTATTTAGTTTCTGCTTAGCCAGATCAGATCACACTGACAACTAAATATTTTCAGCTTCTGCTGTGATAATGAAACTAACTCCCTCAATTCAAGCTTGCTGCTTGGAATACCTGCACTCAGAGGACCTCCCTACCATACCTTTTTCCCCCAATCCTATTTTGCTAGACAATCAGTGCTCTCTCAGTATTATTCATTGTTTACTACTACCACTACCACCACTACTACTATCAGTCTTACCATCATAATTCCGTCAGCAAGTTCCCTACAGCAAATCCCTAGGTCACTTCTTTCCTATGTAAAAAGAATTGATGACTGTAACTATGCAGTAAAAGCTGTTCCTGGGAAGAAAGATTCATTTGTAAATATTGCAATAAAGTGGAATTGAATTTTACTTTGTTTAACTTTTGTTCGTACAGATTCTAGCCTAAAATGCCAGAGCAAACACCCGGGTTATCCTAGGTGTTCATAATCACTAGTGTAAAAAACTGATATTAGTAATAATTTCCTTTTTTTTTTTCCTTGGTTTATTTATTTTTTTTAATGCAGGTGTTATTTTACTTAATAGGCATGTATGCTTGGTAATTTAGGCATCCTAGATGCATATCCTATCTGATATTACTCTTTCCACTTCTGTTTTAATGGACAGTTAATGGAGTACTATGAGCTCTTTGAAGCTTAATATTTTTAAAATTATAAAAATAACTGCACTTGAAGGGCATGCACCAACTGCTGATGCTTCCTCTGACTAAGGGTATTTATACCCATAAGCTTGCAAAGAAGAATTTTTCCAACTATTTGGGTTGGTCTAATAAAAGATATAAGATTTACCCAAAGAACCTTGTCTGCCTGTGTCCTTAGACCAACACGGCTACAACCTGTACCCTAGAAAGATGTACGAGTTCCTGTTTGCTTATAGTCTAATTCCATTATGTTTGCAGGATATCATTAGTGCTGAGTTCATTCATAAGCTTGAATCCCTTCTTCAAAGAGCTTATCGTCTCCAGGAAGAGTTTGAGGCCACTCTTGGTGCTTCTGATCCTGCTTCCCTAGCTAATGATACTGGTGAGTTCTCTTACTTTTACATTTTTATCTTTCTCAATAGGATCATCATGAGTGCCCCCCCTTGCCCCCCAATATTGCATATGCCAAACAGTAAATACATCTTCCGCACAACAGAGTTGAGCTTTGTTTTGCCAATTAACCTTTTTATTGAGTCAGTTTCCAAATTTTACACACATTTATAAATCAGAATTGACTTGAAGGATTACTTTTTGCATATACATGTGTATCTTTTTCAGGATTTATCTTAACTCAGTATATATGGTAATGATATGTATATAATAAGAACATTATTATTATTATTTGGAATAACCAGTTGAATGTCTTAGTTCAAAAAGCTCTTATCACTCAGCTATCTAAACTGCTGATGACAGTGGCTGAAACGTCACAAAGAAGTAGATGAGGGAATGGGGAGAATTGGAGGGTTGTGACAAAATAATTGTGCATAGATTTGCAAGAGAGAAAGATGAGATCTGGCAGTTGCCTGTACGTAAATTGGTCCTTAGTTATTAGTGAATTCCACTAAATTATCTGATGGGTTAGTTTCCCTTTTTTTTTCGTGGTTCCATAACATTTTGGTAGCAATGATTGAAAGAACAGTAGGAAAGTATTTTCTGTTTCAGTTGTCAAATACTTTATTTTTCTTTTATTCTTTTTCTTCTTCCTTCAGCTATTTAACTCCTTTTTCTTACCTTCCTGTACCTGCATTAATATAAACACCAAAAAATTAAGTCAGGATTCAGAGCATAACAATCACAAGTTGAATTTTTTCCTTAAATAATATTTTTTCGTTTTACAAATTTAAAAGCTAATAAGCAGTGCCCACAGCCAGTAGGCGTGACACCACTGTAGTAGAGAGCTCCAAGGTTTTCCTTTACTCCTTCCTTAATGCTGGTGTTGCAGCAGTGGAGAAGACAGGTTAGAAGAGAACAGAGCTGGGCTTTTCCTCTCCTATGTAAAAAATAACTGGCAGCTCCTCTTGGCTGCTGAAAGAGTGGTAGGAGAGCAGCCGGTCTGATTTAGATGTTCTCCCCAGGAAGTGAATAAGGCTATTAACCCCCCTCCTCCCCCCGCCAAAAAAAAAAAAAACCACCACCAAAAACGACCAAAAATCCCCCACAAAAATACTAGTTGCTCATTGTTTTTGTTGGGGGAGAAATACATATGTAACTTATTTTGTGCATATGTGCGCATATACAGCCTAAGTGAAAAGAACAGTATCAAAATTGCAGTCATCTACTTAAGTTAGAGTCCTGTGGAAAGTATTGTGTAGAAGTATTTCTGCCCTTTCCTTTCTAACCTCTCTGTCTGTTCCTCAGACTTCGTATCTGAATGAGTCTTTGTCCAGCCATTTTCAGGCTTCTTCCTCTTAAGCTCCTTGTCTAGTCTTTTATACCTATCCTCCCCAGTGTTCACTTCCCCTGGCTCCTAGTTCGAGTCCTCTTGTCCTGACTTCTTAATTGAGTCTGCCGTCTTACCTAGATAGTGCCAGTTTTCCCCCTCTTTCCATAACACACCCTGGCACCTTACCAGCTTCTCCTGTGCTGCTGCTGCTTAGCTGTCAATGAGAGGCAAGTAAAGAATATAGGAGAGACTTTCTTTACTTTTTGCGTTTGGTGCCTCTTAAACACACCAAACTTATATTTCCAAACAACAGTTTGCTCAGCTCTAGCTTAGAGCATACCCAGTGTCAGTAGAATTTTAGGTATATTTAGCAGCTAAGTCCTGCCAAGTCTGAGTCTTAACTTGGCCAAATTTGGGAAGACTGGGAAAAGGCAAACAATAAAACAAAGGGTT